TCCCTTCCCCAACTCCCTTTCCACCTCCCCCTCTCCTCCCTCCTCCTCTCTCCTCCTCCCTTCCTCCTCCCCCATCTTCCTCATCCTCCCCCCCCCCTCTCTTTTTATATGAGTAAGTGCATTTCTTATGCTTCACTCCCTCCTCCTCCTCCTTCTCCTCCTTTTCTTCCTCCTCTCCCTTCTTCTTCTCCTGCTTCTCTTCCTTCTTCTTCTCTTCTTTCCTCTTTCTTTCTTTTTCTTCTTCTTTCTTCTTCCTTTCTTCCCCTCTCCTCCTCCTCCCTCCCTCCTCCCTCCTCCTCCTTCCCTTCCTCCTCCTCTCCTCCTTCCTTCCTCCTCTCCTCTTCCTCCTCCTCCTTCCTCCTCCTCCTCCTCCTCCCTTCAACAGGATAACGGTTGTTGTAAAAAAAAAAAAAAGAATAAAAAATAATGGAGTTTGAGTGCCTCTTGCAAACAAAGGAGGGGTCCATCTGGCAGCTGGGCGATGGGCACGATGGTGGTGGTGACGGTGGTGATGGTTGATGGTGGTTGATGACGTGGTGATGGTGGAGTGGTGCATGATTAGTTGTTGATGAGTTGGATGGTTGGTGGTGAATGAGTAGGATTGATGCAGGGGGATGCGAGTGGATGGTTTGGTGTTTGGCTGGTGATGACGTGGATGGTGATGGTTGGAGGTGGGATGAAGGTGATGTGATGAGGTGCATGGTGGGTGGTTGAGTAGACGGGGGTGGTGATGAGGTGGTGAGTTTTGAGGGTGCGGTGGCATTGGTGATGGTTGATGATGTGGATGGTTGATTGTGGGTGAGGAGTGGTGATTGATGGTGGTGATGAGTTGGACGGTGGTGGTGATGAGGTAGCATGTGGGGTGTGGAATGGTTGATGAGAGCGTGTGTGAGAGGGGGATTGAGGTGGATGGTTGCTGGGCGGTGCTGATGATGGTGTGAATGAGTGTGGATAGGTGGTGCCTGGTGATAGGTGGTTGCAGAGTTTAGGATGACATGGGGTGATGTGGTGGATGGTTGGTGAAGACGTGGATGGGTGATGGTGTGAGGTGGTATAAGTGTATGGTGGATGGTGATGAGTTGGGTGGTCGTTGATGCATGAAGATGGACGGCTTGTGGTGATAATCATTAATGAAGATGCGGGACTGGTTATAATCATTTAATGAAGAATGCTGATGGAAGAGATTTTGGTGATGTCGATTTAAGATATTAACAACGATCATGACAGCAATAACAATTTACAACAAATACAACAAAACAACTTTTTTCTTCTAACAATCAACTAACAACAAAAATACAACAATTTTTTTTCTTCTAAACAAAACAAACAGAACAACAAACAATTTTTTTTTCTTAACAATCCTCCACTACTACACAACAACAAATACAAAATTTTTTTTCTCTCTAACAATCACATAACAAACAACAAATACAACTTTTTACTCTTCTAAACAATCACTAACAACAACAACAACACACAACACAGGGGAACCAACCAAACAACCGAAACCCCCGGGGGCCCGGCCCGTCATAACTCAAAGGGAAAAATCACCCGCCATATCTAACATCCCGTCCCTTCGCTCAACCATCTACTGTGCAAATGAATAACGTTAAAATTTTGCATAATGTTTTTTGAGTGAAATTTGCACGAGCGGGGGAAGGGGACGCGCTCGACTTATAATTTACGGTTTTTATTATTCTTCTTTTTTCTTCTTCTTCTTTATTCTCTCTTTATTTATTTATTTATTTTATTCTTTATTCTCTATTTTTTTTTTTTTTGTGTGTGTGTGTGAGGGGGGGGGGAGCGGTTTCTTTTATTTTTTTTCTTCTTCTTCTTCTTTCTTCTTCTTTCTTCTTATATTTATTACTTTTTTTTATTTTTATTCTCTATTTTTTTTTTTTTTGTGTGTGTGTGGGGAGGGGGAGGCCGGTTTTTTTTTTTTTTTTTTTTTCATTTTATTCTTTATTTTCTCTATTTTTGTTGTGTGTGTGAGAGGGGGGAGGGGAGGGGAGGGGGAGGTGGAGGAGGGAGGGGGGAGGGGAGGGAGGGGAGGGGTGGAGGTGAGAGGAGGGAGGGGGAAGGTGGGAGGGAGGAGGAGGGGGGAGGGGAGGAGGGAGGGAGGGAGGGGAGGTGGAGGAGGGAGGGGGGAGGGGGGAGTGGGGGAGGAGGGGAGGTGAGAAAGAGGAGAAGGGGAAGGGGGAGGGGTGGAAAGGGAAGGGGAAGGGGAGAGAGAAATGGCTGGAGGAAAGGGGAGAAGAAGAGAAAGGTAGAGAAGATGAGAGGGAGAGAAGGAAAGAAAAAAAATAAAGAAGGGGAGAAGAAAGAGTTGTGAAGAGGGAGAAGGTGAAGAAGACGATAAGAAAATGCAAAGAAAAGGGAGAAGGGGAGAAGAAAGGAGGAAAAGGAAAAGAAGAGAGGAGAGAGAGAGAGAGAGAGAGAGAGAGAGAGAGAAGACGAGAGAGAAGAGAGAGAGAGAGAGAGAGAGAGAGAGAGAGAGAGA